TTCTGCATAAAGGGTTGGATTCACTGCGACAGAGGGCAACTGGATATCACAGGGGGCCTCTGGTTCAAGTCCATCAGTCCTCAAGCCCAGGTGTGAGAAGCTGTGGTACATAGACCTGGTTGCTAACTTCTGCCTCATCTCCCTAAAGCCTTTATCTGAAACCCTCTGCACTGTATTTTAAACTCGTCCATTAATATACTCTTACACTGGTGTGTTCATAACATGATTAAAGAAAATTGCTTTGCTGGATCACAATGAAAACCATCCTGAACTGTTTTTTGGGTTGTTGTTTTTAATAGATTCACTTAATCTTGTTCTTCATAGGCTCATCTCCCAGCTAATTTTCACTCAGGATAGCTCAGTTTCCTAAGTACCACTTAGTAATGCTGACCTTAGTTATAAGTCAAGACAAGTAAATTGAAGTCCAAGATTCATTGACCCCTCTACTGTGTTTGTTTCAAGCACTATACAAACCAGCGGAGATAAGGTAGATAGCATCTTGTTCTTGACAAACAAGACGAGTACTCACATGATAGCTCCTACCCTTATAAAGTCTGCAATGGTTCTTTATTAGGTCCACCCTACTGCTTTCCTCAGCACACATTGTCCTTCCCTGCCTCTTTTCCTCAGGCATCATGCCTCAAGCATTATCAGTCTTAGGCTCCCAATCAGAGTTCACTTTCTGCTCTTCATCCTCCAGCACTGTGCCCCTGCACACATCCGATCCACTGTGATTACTTGGAGGCTTGTGAGCGGTGATGGTGGAGAGTGGATGCTTGAGTGGTGGTGGCGCTTTCCGTCAACTCTCTTTAACATGTTCAACATGTGTAGCATATCTACCAGGGGCAAGGCCCTATGCGAAGCTGCAAGAGGGAGCTCACTAGATGAATGAGACTCAGTTCCTTCCTTCCCAAGGCTTAACTAGTCGTGAGACAGGGTGAAAACTGATGAGGTGAGAGTGATCTACTGTGATGAGCACCGAGAAAAGAGGTTTCTTTTACAACTATGTGTGCCCAAGGGTGGCTGGGAGGATACGACTGGGTCCATGGCCCTTCATCGATCCCAGGGTCAGTCTTTCAAATGGGGAGCCTTAGCATGTTTAGCAACATGCCTTCTATCCATCCAGAAAATGAAGGGGGCTAGTCTCAGCTATCTGACTCTTTTAGCCTCTTCTTCTCCATCCATTTTTATTTAATAAAAAAATTATAGTGGCATACGAAAATTGACAAAATGTGAAAAACCTCTCGTTAAAAAGAAGGGGAGGGAAGTGTTCCTTAATGTTTCCTCACGTGATCCACAGCACGTCAATAACAGTATGGCTAAGTCACACCATTCCTTGCTGTGGGCAGGAATGTGACTGGGTGCTGTTGGGTGCCCGCGGTCACCCCTGTGAGCATTCAGAGCAAACTCTAAGTCCTCTGGCCTCCAGAAATGCACCCAAGCCCAAGGACAACACAACAAAAGGGGGGGAAACGTATAGAGAAGTCCATGATGGGAATTCTCAAAGAATAAGAAAGAAGGCGGACATAGGCCTATTTCTCGTTTCTTGAGGACACACGGCTTACAGAAATTTGATTTGAAGATGAAGGGCTTTGTTCCTTCTTCTTTTAAGAGAAACCGTCATACATCCAACTAAAGCTCCCACAAGCGCATGAAACATGAGGGGTTCTTGATGGGCTGAGGCATTTGCTCTTTGGGTCCTCATTTTAATCCGACTCTCCAGGGGAGGCTGCCCCTGAATTCCTCAGAGTTGCCTCAAAGCATGCGGGCGCCCCCCCCCCAAGTCAGACACCACAGTAAGCATTTCCTAGGCCCCCAGGACAGACTGGGTGCTGTCGTTTCTACAAACACTGCATTTGACCTGGATACACCCACCGATTGTGGCGACCTGACTCCAACTGGTGGCAGCCCGATGTAACTGAGGGCGACCCCGTGACTCCCTGTGCGACACACACCCAATGGTAGTGGCAGGTGCTCCGATGTTTTGACAAACACCCTCTGCCATCAAGTCCAGGGGATAATCCTGTACAGGGTTTTGGAAACTGTCAATCTTCATGAGAGCAGATGGCTGGAAATGCTTCTTTGGCGGTAAAAAAAAAAAGTTATTATAAACAATAGCAACACCCCTCCCCTCAGAAGAAAGAAAGAATAGAAGAAAAAAAACTCCCCCTCGGGTCCTCTTTGAACCTGAAACCTTGTTTGGATAGGCCCGCTCATGGTTTTTCTTCCCTCTGAAACATTAAAACTGATAACCATTATAACGAGTTCCACAGGACAGGAAGGGTTCTAGGATTTCACTCCTTGACAAAGAACAGCTACCTGACTGGGCCGCTGCCATATGTGAAGCAAGCTCCCAGACATAAAATCTCCCCTCAGAGCAGGCAATAAGGGATCTGCCCGGGGAGACCTCGTTCTCACTGGGAGAGCTGGTCGCGAGTCCGAGAGGCACACAGTGGGGAGGAAAGGGAGCCGGGGTCCCCCACCTGCGTACGGCCTGGGCTGTCCCAGCAGCTCCAGGGTGGCTTCTGCGCCATCACCACTTGATCTGGGTTGTCTCTCTAAAACAATGAACGAATAAGTCACGGTGAACCTGCCTTTTATAATTGTCTCCTTTAAAAGGGCGAACTCTCCCGGGAGAGAACAGGACCCTGCAGGTCCAAGGCCTGGAATTCCCCCTCGCTCCCTTTCCTTTCAGACAGGAAACGTCCGCGCTCAGAGAGTCCCGAGGGAGCAGGAGCCGGGTGTTCATTTTAAGGCAGATAATGTTTGTGTGTTGCAAATGTCAGGGATTCGTCCCGAGGGCTTAAAATGAGTGCAGCAAAACCACATGTTTCACTTCACGCAGAGAAAGAGCTTCACTAGGTTTTGAGAGAAAGCACAGGTTAAGGATTTCTTTTTTTTCCTTTTTTTTTTTTAAGTGTTTCGGAAATCTCTAACAGGAACTGAAAGGAAATAAAAATGAGTACTGGGGTGGGAGGGGATTTTAAACATTTTGTAATAAAAGATAAAGCGAACACTGGACCAATTCTCTATAGCCCCCACCCCCCACCTCAAAAAAAAAAAAAGGAGGAGGGTTAAATTTGAAAGGAAAAGTCTAAAATAGCAGCCCTGTATTTCCCAGGGCTCTATTTACCGTGTAAACTAGAGCCAAGCAAAGTGCACGCAATAGTAGGGCAGGTGCTACAATAACTTGCGCGCACGCACACACACACACACACACACACACACACGATTCAATTTGGTTTTGCTTGGTCTTGTTTTGTTTGTTTGTTTGTTTCGGAAAAGTTTTACTGGCTGCATTACCCACATCTCAGGATCTCTCTCCTCTGGTTAAACAGAGTCAAATGAGGATCCCAACAGGGTGAGAGGGCTCCACGTCTTTCACGGCCGTGGCTGTGGGCTGCTTTCCAGGCCGGTGCTCGAGCGGGTCAAACCTCCCTCAATTCAGGGATCTTGCCGGGCTGTTTTCACATCAGACTCCCCGGATGACAGGGCAATGCTGCCTGCTGTTGGCAGTCCGGGATCAACCTCAGACCCCATGTCCTCACAGCCCTGTTACTTCTGTCCCAGGGCTCTAGGAGCTTGTACTCTGCCACCGGAAGGCTTTCCATTACTTCTTCTAGTGGCCCGTTTCCTTTAAAGAAACAGAAATGCAAGGAGGGGCGTCAACAGTGGGGTGGATCTGGTGGTGGGTTTATGAGATTTTTAAAAGCTGCAAACAGCACTCATCTGTTTAACCCCGGGCTAGATAGAAGGCGGTCATCTGCACATCGTTTAGAGACGTGTAGCTTCTGCTATGCCAAATGGAGCCAGGGATACGTGTTGCCTTCAGCTGAGAGAGCCAGACAGACTCCCTCTCTGCTCATGTTTATTCGGACCCTAGACCTTTCCGAGTTCAAGGTGCAACTGTTTTGGTTGCTCCCACCGGCTACCGGCCTGGTAGCTCCCACCTGGTACAGGCCTGGTGTCTTTGCAGTCGCATTGCCTTATCAGCGTTCTGCATGGGTGACGTTCCAGCCCTCTGAGCTGGGGCTGCTGGGGACCGTGGATTGACGAAGGCATGCCAGCACTTACAGGATGTGCTCGCAGCCAACCCGACGTCATCCTACCGTTGCTGCTGGTGATCCATCTTGGTGGCCCATCGAGATCCATAAGGCTTTCATTGGCTGGGTTTTTGTTTGTTTGGGTTTGTTTGGTTTTTTTGGGGGGGGGGGCGGGAGCGGGGGAAAAATCATTAGGCTTTTCTTTCCAGTCTGTTTGTATGTGAACATTCCGTCAAAACTTGTTCTGCACCAGGAGAACACATAAGACCACCGCCAGATATGCTTCACGGCCACTGGCCAGGAATCAAGCACAGATGTCCCCCCTCCCCCCGCCCCCGGGAGTTCAGCACTCTAGCCCCAGAGCACCACAGGTTACTTCAGCCAGGACCACCATCCCTTCGAGCCCCCCACAAATCTAGAAGGGGAGGCAATCCAACACATGGGACAACGATCCTCCATATAGCCTCTGGTTCTGTGACCACGTCCAGGACTGAATTCAGCAGAGATGGGGAGGAGTCGAATGATCGTCACATGTTGAGGCTCAAGCTCCTTGTCTTGGTTAGGATATTGACTTGGCTGATCCAAAAAACGTCGCCGTAAGAAGGCCTAAGAAGATAGAGGCATATCCCTCTCTCATGTCCCTACGTTGTACTGAGCCTACATTGCACTGGGCTGCAGGCTGGCTCCCTAGTGTTGGGGCCCAGGATCCTGCCCTCTTGTTGCTCTGCCTTCATCAGCGTGGAACGCTCACATCTGGTCACAGGAAGGGGAGAAGGAAAGAAAGTCTCTTCTTTTTACAGGCACACACGACGTCTTACCTCCCACGGGTCATACTTAGCCCATGGACACACTCCACTGCACAGAATCCTGAGAAATATGGCCTACAAGTACTCCAGACTGCACAGCAGGCTGAGAAACATGACCAGCTGCTAACGTGTGTGTGTTCTTCTTTTACAGGGGAGGACCTGTAGACTACCTGACAGCCGGACCTCGAGGGCTCTACAAGGAGAGGGAGCTTCCATATTACCCAGGGGCTCATCCTGCACATCCGCCCAAAGGGGGGTATCCCCGCCCCCCGGATCTGAGGGTGGCAGACCTTCGGTATCCTCAGTACTACCCACCACCACCAGCCCCCCAGCACAAAGGACCCTTCCGGCAAGATGTTCCACCTTCCCCTCCTCAGCACCACAGAGCCCCAGCCTACCAGGAAGTGGGCAGAGCAGGGCCCCGTGGGGGCAGCCCAGACCAGTACCCCTACCAAACCCAGGATCCTCGGCAGAAGAACCCCGTGACTGCGGCTGTGTAATTGAGCGCCACCCAGATCAGTCCAGAAAGGAAGGCGTCTACCAGGCCCTGTGCCCTGCCCAGACCTTAGGACCTTCTTGCCGTTCAGTCTTCTCCAGGGTCATCTGGGACAGCTCAGACTTTTCTCACTGAGGCGACAACCCATAAGGCGAGTCTGAGGGGCGAGGAAGAAGCAGGTCTTTTTAGAGAAAGAAAACTCAGAAGGAAGAGGAAGGCACTGTTAACAACGTCCGTCTGTCTGAGATGCTTTTAAGATTATTAAGTTCAGTGAGAGAAGCTACCGAATAAGCAAATCTCAATGGAGATAGACTATATGCTACCTCCCTGGCTCGTTGGCCTGTGTACCCTTGTACACGGTATACCCTTGTGCATGCATGCGTGTGCACACACACAGATGCATGCAAACCACAGAAGTGGCAGGGCTTTCTCAGCCAGGGGTGGTTATCTCTTCAGAGGCTAAGCCTCAGCCACCCTGGTGGAGTTGTTAAGTCGGAAGAGTGGCAGAGAGCCTGCGAACGTAGGGTCTCTGAAGTGAATGGTCTTCATTGAAAACAAAACAAAACTGCAGCAAGCATGACTAGTCACCTTGACCCGTGTTTACCTGGAGGAAGGCTACGCTTCTCTAATAGTAGACACTCTGGGATTTCTAGTAAACGTTCCTTGGTTCATCACTTTCAGCATAAAAGTCAGGAAAATGCAAGTCTAGTGTTAGGTCTTGGGAGAAGATGGGAAACTCATTCAGAGCTTTTAGCAGGAAACTCACTCCGACCACCGACCACCGAGCCACTCAGGGTCAGAGGCTGAAACTCCCATGATTCTCTTGTTCCTTCCTTCCCATGACCCAGGAATGAGAACATGGAGAAATCTCGTTTCAGGGTCACCTCCAAACGAGGATCCTGCCTGTAATGACTTTAACTGGGGTCTCTAAGGCTTTTATTTGGGGGAAAGGGCCACCTTGTTAGATCACATGACAAGCAAGACCCTAGAGATTCCAGCTTTAGAATCAGTGCCAAACACACCATCTGCACTCTGAGACAGGGAGGAGCTGATTGTGGGAGGGAACTCGGAACAGGAAGTTGGTGACAATGAGTGACCATAAGTGTCTCCAGGGAGAGAGATGCCTAACAGGGGGACTGGGGGATGCAAAGACTTTCTGAACAGTTTGCTGAGAAAGAGATTAAGAAGGGAAGAAGTAAGAGGAAGGGAGAAGAGGCATGAAACAAAGTCAGTCGATGTCTAGTGTATTTCCTAAGTAAAAGTCAGGTCCACCCCAAGGTTAGGACTTTGAAAACTAAAACCCAGCCTTCTAAGATGCTTTCAGCAAGGCACACCCAGCACACTTCCTTTTGAACTTTGCATCTATGTTTTTGTATTTCAACAGTGTCCAAAACATCCAACCAGATCGCAATGCGAGCACCAACAAAGGACTGTTGGAAAAACGGGCAAACTTGGAGCAGCCATTTAACTTGCCCATTGCTCTTGAAATCTTTTAAGTCTTTTCATATGCCTTTCTCATTTCCTCCCAAAATAAATAAATAAGGCCTTAAGAGAAATGTAGACATATGTGGGGTGCGATTAGGATACTTCTGGTGGACAGGATTTAATAAATTATCGTATCCTTGAATGCATAGATTATCTGCTAGCCCAGTTTACTCTTACTCTTTAAAATAGAGATCTGTTACCAGGAGTAACACAGTGCTGTTCTCAGACATAGATAGGGTTATTTACCGGACTGCAAGAGGATCGTTTTCGAGACCACAATTGACTTGGGGCTGTCTCGGAGCAGATTGTCAAGCTGTTTTCTGCCTCTGCCATCTCTCTTCAGCCAGCCACCTTTGGATTGCTTGCAATGTGTGCAAACAGGGTACCACATGAGGGCCTTGCTCCCCTCCAGGCAGTGTGGGAAGCTCTCAGGCTTCTTTGCCAATAGGTCCAAAGCTGCCTCTCCCTCCAGCGAACTAAACCATCAGGAAGCAAATGAAAGTGAGAGGGAAATGGAACTTGTTCGGAAGCCTTCAAGGTCAGTTGCCTAGCGCATTCGGAACGTTAAATAAATTTCCACAGATGAGTGTACAGAACCACCCCAGAAGTTTCCCTCTGGCTGGAGGCTAAGGGCAACAAGGGGCAATCGTATCAACTGAGCTACTCATGGCAAGTTGGAGAAGAGGCTCTTGTGGAAGAGTGCACCTGTGCTCGCCCCAGCGGAGCCACTGTGTGCACAATCCCTCTGAAACACAGGCCGCTCCCAAGCAGGCTTCTGTGTGGGAACACAGAAGGTGCAACTCCAGAGGGTCAGCGGGTGAATGAAAGAGGGCACTCTTACAGGGAACACCAGCTAGATCCCAACAGTTCGCTGCCCGTGCGCAAGCCTAACACGGGCTTCATTCTATCCCACTGGAGAGCTGCTCTTGTGATGTTTGTGACAGAGGCCCCAGCAAGCCCAGCCACGATGACGAATAGCCTGAAGGTCGCCTTTATCCATGCCTTTGTACCACCCTCTAGTTGTCACCACCCCCAGGGTTACAGAACTCCCCGCCCCCCCCCCAGTGTTTGGTGTTTTAGATGATCAGGCTATCATCCGTAGACGTCCAGTAGCAGGAAATAGCTTTCCATTTATACGCAGAACTCAATCATGTCTCCCCATAACTCAGTTCCCCAGGAATTGAGTGGCGTGAAGAACTACTCCAACCCATCAACATGTGCCCGCCCACTGCTCATTTGAGCACTGAGTCATTTAGGCCTTGAAATGAGGCTGTGGCCTCAAGTCAGAGCGGTTTTAAGGCTCTTCTGGTCCCTCTCTCTGGAGGTGTAGGATGATGAAAGGGAGCCGGCCACCCTGAGCTATGTTTTTCATTGTGAATGGAGGGGACCATCAACTGGGCATTCACCAGGTCAAACCACCCATCTCCGCTCCTCGGATTCTCTCCTCCCTCTTTTGGCCCTCCCTTCCTCCCACCCCCACACCTGTCAATCCTCAACTCCATTGCTTCAGCGCCCCACCCTTCTTTGGAAACCTCCCAATTTTTCATCCTATGGGATGCAGGGTGTTTCCTGGCTTTTATCCTGATAGTAGTGTCTCCTGCGACATGTATCCTTTTGTGATTGACCGACTTCTCTCAACATAGTGAACTCCAGGTTCACCCCTGCCCTGAGGTGCTTCATTGTTTCATCCGTGGTTTTTAGGGATGCATGTTATCCCATTGTGTATATGTACCCAAGTTTCTTTATCCGGTCACCTGCTAATACATTCCTAGCTCTGGGGTCTGGATAATTCAGTCCTCCAAAGGAAGACAAGCATGTCTCATGAATCCATTGTGCCACTGGGCTGTGTGCCAGCACTCTTCCTAGAACGTTGCTTCTCCACAAGGCCAACTCAGTAGATGGAAGGCAAACTCAAAGACACGTACATTTGCTTCAACCATGATTTTTTCCCTGCAAGATGCAAAACTGGACAAACTCTCTGAAGCTCATTGGTATTTGGTTTTTGAGCATGGATGTAACACCCCCAAGATTGCGTGAAGCAAAGATCTTATACCCATGAGCACAGTAGGGTTCCACAATCCCATAATAAAGCCTGTGCACCATTCCTGATAGAGGAGAGTTGGTGGGTGAATTACCCCAAAAGCAAGGGAAACATGCTTGTTCGTGCTTACTAATCTGTAGTAGACCCTTTCACATGCTTTACCTTTACTACAGGTAGTTTTTGACATGTGGTGGGACAATGTGTGCAGTCTCTACAAATTAGTAGGTAAGTAAAGGTAATCCTGTGTTGACCTTGCTTATTAGGTACTCTGTCCAGGTTCAGGATTGTTAATTTGAAAAAAGGCTTTGATTCTGTAGGAAGATTCTATAGGGCTGAGAGAGCGTCAGATACCAGTCATACCTAGAAGCAGAATCTTTGGTGTGAAAAATGTAAAACTATCCCTTACAGATCAGTAAGAAAGCACAAGTAAGCCGGGGCAATCTGACACCAAGAACTGAGAGCCGAGTGTAGCTTTTTTATGCTACCCACACCAAACCATTGAGTCGGATCCGACGGTAGGTAGAACAGCCCCAGTGGGCTTCTGAGACTAACTCTTTACAGGAGTAGAAAGCCTCATCTTTCTCCTAAGGAACCGAGAGTGCTTTCAAACGGCTAACCTTATGGTTAGCAATAAAGTAAAATTATAGCACGACTTTTTTTTTTACTATCAACTAATTAAAATAATAATATGATTTCTAATGCCTTTCAAAGAGTGGCAGAAATGTTTTACTCAATCTAACTTCTGAAGGAATGCCTCGTGACCGGGGAAATCGCGACACCCATCTCTGTCCCCTGAGCTGCGTTGGGAGTGCTTGTTCCTTCGTCTGTAGCTCCACACCCACTGGCTTTGGAGAAACAGCTGGCACATGGGGGTTGATACCTGAGAGTTTGAAATGACAAAGAATGAGACCTGTCAAATTCCCTCGGATTACACTCTGAGATCTACATCGTGTGGCCTGCAAATTGGCATTAAATTGGGTCAACGCCCTAATGCTTTCTGAGCCCATGAGCAACAGACGCTCCAGATTTAAGGCAAAAAGGAGTTGGGTTCAGAAATGGCCCATAGTGTTGTTTCTTTACACTAGCCGTCCTCCTGACCTAGCTGGAAAGGAGACTAAGAAATTCGTCCTCATTAGATACCCCTACAAAGGCTCCTTTCTGAGAAAGAGAGAATGAATACCAGTTAGATATTTAACATAAGCCCTGCAACCTCCGCCCAATGCAGTGACTCTAAGTGAAACTCCCTAGAAATCGTAGTAGAACCCCACAGCCTGGCTTTCGGAAGGGGGCTGGGCCCCAAGTGTAGTGGGGAGGGAAGGAACCTCGGGTCTCTTGCAGTCTGCGCTGCACCATGCACAGTTAACACATCTGAGAACCACAGCTGCTCCATCGCGACGCGTGCAGTGCCGCTTGCTGCTGAGAACTAAAACAAAACCAGCGATTGTCACGGTCCCTGGGTCTCCAGTGCTGCTCAGACCAAGCCTGTTCATCAGTGTCAGAGACAAACTATCTGAAATCCTATTTTGGCATATGGTAATTTTTTTACAAGCTTTTGAGGATAATCCCATTTGTATCACAGAAAATATTTTGGATGTTGTTATATACAAATATATAAATTTGACTTGTTTTATTTTGCATTAAAACAAACTTCTATTCAGTCAACAAGATGTCTGAGTCGTGGTTTCCAATCACCGCTAGTTTGCTTCTGGCGTCTCCGGAGGAACAGGCCCGGCTTGGCCTGATCACCGTTGATTCCACACACTCTGGGTTGAAACCATTTGACACCAGATCAAAAGACATCTTTTCCATGTGCCAGGGAGGGTGTGCGGTGGCTAGTTGTTCAGAAGCAGAGTGTCGTTGCTGTCTTCAGAGGCACCTCTGGCTGGACTCAAGCTGCCAGCTTGTCCATTAGCACAGGAATGGTTCGCACCACCTAGGGACGCCTGGAGAACAGAGTCCAAGAGGAAAGAGCATTTGTGCCCTGCTGACTTCCCGAGACTCAGGGGCTGAGATGGAGATTAGTCAGCAGGTGTTGGCAAGTGCACGTGGTTTCAATTCAATACCAATGGATGATAGGGGGCAAGGGGAGGGGGCCAAGGAGTTTAGGGGAGAGGGAGAGAATTTGAGCTGCAGTGCACCCCCAACTTGGATTGTTGGCAACCCTGCAGCAAAGTCTGAAGCTGGAATGGCCAGACA